ATTATATGGAGGCATGGATGAGAAGAATATAACAACCTGCCCATTCCTGCCCACCTCCTTCAGCAAGGGCTGCATGCCTCCCTTCTGAGATGCTGCTTCTGTCCCCTCTTCTCTGGGAGAGGAAAGGTGCCTATTCCTGTACACTCTGAGTTGCAGGAGGAGGCAGGAATGATAAGGTGCTGTCTGTCTGTCTGCATATGTAAGGCACAACCTTCCATTAATGGGAGGATTTCTCATTATACAGGATTTCTAGTCTAGTCCAGTCTCATTCACATGAATGGACAATGTAGGGTTATCTACACACGTGCAAAAAGCGTTGAATAACATTTTCACTCAGTAATTAAATATGCTAACCAATGCACACAAATTCCTTGTGGAATCCCATGCATGAATATCTCTCCCTTCTACAACAGACAGGCCTCTGCATGGCTGCTTTCTCTCAGCTTATCCTGAGGTAGCATATACAAGTATTGAGTTCTGGTGGATCACTAGAGGTTGCATGTTTATAGGAAAGATTCAACTAATATTTCTCAATGGAAATGTTCCAGTTCTGAAGAATTCATTGTTTTATTACCATGAAATTAACAACATGATGAATTGATACAATGCCAGTAAAATGGTCCATTTTGAAGTTTCTAGATTATTTCTAAGAAGTAAACATTTATATATCTAATCAGTATCACTATGTGTAAATAGAAGGTGATGGGTTGAACTTGGTGATTTAAGATTATAATCTAAAATAGGTCCCAATCAATGTAAGTCACTGGAAATTTTTCCCAAATGTCTTCCAATTTGACTCTCATGGAAAACTTGCATCACTCTTACTGGCCCCCATGGAACACAGGATCATAGCTCAGTGGTGGAGCAGCCAGAAACTCTCAGGTTCAGTCCTTGCCATCTCTAGTTGCCTGTCAAACACTTTTTTCTGAAACCCTGAAAGCCACTGCCCATCATGATCCAGGTTACTACCAAGATGGAGCCATGGGCTAACTGCAAAACTGCATCATGTTGACAGAGTGGCTGTATAGGGCCCAACCAGTCTCCCATTGAGGCACCAAGCATCAGATTCTCTTTGTTTCCGTTTAGCTGTATCTTACATGCTCAGATCCATTTGTTCCCTATTCTGCTTTCCGAAATCTAAAGATTGCATGGGAGTTCACCGCTTCTTAGTTCCAAGGAGGCTTCTGAAGAAAAATTGCAGAAAAGAATCCTTCTACTCCACTTGTTGGCACCTTGTTGGATTGTAGCCACTGTTTTTTATCAGTCACATTTTTGCTACACTAAAGTAAAATTGCACAGTTTTTGCCTTGTACCATGTTTTCCTTTATGTTACAAAAAGTTTAATTGATTTGAACCACAGATCTTTATTTGTGCTTATGGTCATAATTTCTCTTCAACACTACTGCTTTGCATATTTATTATAGGAAAGATAATATTTTATAAACTTCAGCAGTTTGCCTTTGAAAATATTTGTGGTTTTTTAGAAACTGCAGGTTCTGTTTTCACACCTCATTCATAGTTAAATGCTTCCTCGTCGTCTCCAATATTTCATTTCTGACAACTCATTAAAAATGGGCCAAATCCCAGAAAATATGATCCTGTCATGTTGTATAATATATAGCGTGGGCCATATGCAATAGAAAATTGTTAGTTAATGGTTTAGAATAATTTCTCAGATTTTTTGGCTTTCAGTGGCTGGTGAAAACTGACTGTGAAAAATCCATGTGGTTAAATACAGCTCTGTTAAACATTTAAAATAGGTGGTACTCGTGGGAAAAGTGATTGGAGCTTAAAACTTGTACAAATTGACAGCCTCTCTTCACTCCATTTTTCATCCTAAAGAAGTCTGCAAATATTCTTAGCTCACATCATTATTGCTCATCAGTGGTTCTAATTAGCTAAACTGGAGTTTGTCTCAGTCATTGATCATCATCAGCCCTTTGACAGTGCCTGAATATATTTTTTTCTGATTTGGGTGAGCACTTTTTAATGTATTGTAGGCATGTACAGAGTACATTAATTGAATCAACCATCTTTTTCCACTATGTGATTTACTTTTATAAGTAAGCCTTTCCTCTGTTTCTCCCCTTTCGTCCCGTTTATCATACTTAAAATGTAGCAGTGGGTTCAATGATGTGCTAGTAGCTTGAAGCATACAGCAATATTACTTAGCATCTCTTCTGGGAGCTTCCCTGTAATGAGTGTTGGAAGTTATCCTATGCCACCAGGAGGAGCTGGTGATAAAATTCTATACCAGGTTTTAATTTATGCTAAAGGCTTCTATTGACAACCACTATATGCAAAAATGATAACATTTTATATGCTGTTTAAATAGTTATTGTGTTCTCAAGCAGATTTTGGCTTCTGTTTAGCATTTGTCTTATGTAGGCTACAAAAGGAACATATTAAAAAGCAGTAGCATTCAGTTCATGATTTATATAGTCTTCCTTTGTAAGTGAAATGTGGGTGTGTACTTGTAATTCATATTGTACAGATGAGAGCGGAGCAGTTTCAAAAGCGTTCAGTGTTGCAGTGTGGACCACTCTTGTTAAAAGAAAGAAATACGAATGAGATGAAAATTCTAGCTATTCCATTATTCTGTATAAATGTTATAGAGTTTATTAATTTAAAGAATTAACTGCTAGAAAATGTGGTTATGACCATTGAGTACAATCAACATGGCTAGGGCACCTTATTCATGGCTGTTGGCCATAATACAATGATACCTCCATGGTCAAATTTGACATATCTTTGACTATTATATACAAACAATGGGGTCCATCTTGATGTATGGTAAGGGATAGAGAGATCTGAAAGAAGATCATGGTGGGACTTAAGAAAATATTTCTTAGCATCTGATTTACATTGCTTGCAAAAGTCCCAGATCAACAGACCCATACATGTTTGTGTTAGAGAAAGTGAGAGAGTAATTAAAGAAGTGCCTTTGCCAAAAAGCGGGGGGAAAGGAACTGGGTGCTTTTTCCTGTTGGACAGGTATTTTGCACCAAAAAAATGATGTATTCTTAAACTTTAAATATTATGTATGCTGTTAAAATTATTTATTCTGATAAAATATTCAAGTTTTTGTTTGGCACATTTTGGTGCTAAGTATGTAAGCAATATTCTTTTTCCAAAGCTATAGTTCAGTTGTAGAACATATTTTTCCTTTAAAAAATAACAAACTAAACAAGCCAAAATTCTTAAAATACACATATGCTTAACTTTCTCGCTGTGATAAATGGAATCTAATAGGATTTAGGAACATCAAGTCTTCCAGGTACATGTTTATTGATATATTTTAGCTTATTATGATACTTTTGCTCTTCTAGAATTGACCACCTTGAGTATATTTTGCTTTTTGTTTTATTTCTTTCTTTGGACAAACTTTACTACAATGTTTTGCATCTATCTGGTGCTTTTTGCCCTTTAGAGCACGTGTTCCTGGGTTTTTTGGGACTTCTCTGATCATTCCTTTTTTCAATACTTTTTTGCTGCTTAATCTCCATCGTGCCTAACTAGGTACTAAGGATGCAATCTTATGCATGTTTTGAAAAAGGAATGCCCTACTTCAGCAGGCCCCAGCCAGCTAGAGGGATAAAAGGAGTTTGTAAACTTCTCTTTCCAAACATGTATGTTCATGCCACAACTCATGGTTGGATGTGCCACTGCATTTGTTTTGTACTGAATTGTCTCACTTTCTTTTCCCCCATCTATTGCCTGTAACTGCAATATAAATAATGAATAATCCTTTTCTTAGTAATGTTTACTTGGCAAGCAAAGAAATTATCTTTTTAGTATCCACTAAAAGGTGTAGGGTGATTTTACATATCCCCTGGAATAAAAGCTGTTTGCTGAAACCTACTAAGCTCTCAATGGCCATAAAAGGTTTTTGGATGTGGCTCATTCCCTAGTTTTGTGTACTGTGTATTAAGTATCTCTGTTAGGTACATTCAATATTTTAAAAGAGTGATAACTTTACTTCAAGTTCTAGAATCTGACCACCCAAACTCTTCAAGGGTCCAGAACCCTTCGGACATTTACTTTCTCATGCCTTCTCTGATACTTGACTGGGGACAGGCTAGCTTACCGGGCTACATAATCTAATCAGCCATTTCTACTCCATCCAGAAGAACCATCTATTAGAGAATGGGACACCAAAGATTGCAGATGATAAATTCGGACTTCGCATGCAAGCTAGCATGAGGTGGGAGTGGGACCTAAACAGAAGGAAGATGGGGGCTACATGCTGCCCATGGACACCAATTGGCTGCTTACTCCTCTTCCAAACATTGCCCACAATAAAATAAATCCTGGCTAAATCAACATTATAGGGGATAATTGGTAGTCTGATTTGCTCATGAACAGTGTGGACAGGTTAGACAAGTAAATGAAGCACATACCAGCAAGCTGCTGAATGCTGCTGTGAAGCTGGCACTGTTTATTTGTTTCTGTTGCTGTATTATTGCCTTAGTTATGATACACGAGTTGTGTGTTTGCCACATCTGGAACTTGATTGAGGAGATATAGGGTAACAAATCATTAGGGAAGAGAACATCTCTGCCCCAAATCTACCAGTTTTTGACAGTTTTAACACAATATAACTGTTGCATATGCCAATGGGAAAATGGTGATGTACCTCAATATGTTGCTCTTATTATATCACTAACATGATGCTAAGGCTTCTTTGATATCAATAACAGAAGGAGGGCTAGAGCTGTTGAAAAACTTCAAGATACCTCATATATTTTCCTCTCTCTTTCTTTAAGTAAGCATATCTAATCATAAACACCGTTTCAGTTAGAATAAAGTTGTCTTAGTTGTTTGCAGATAAAATTTGCTGTCACTTGCCATATGTTCTATGATTAATTCTGCAAGGGCTGTCAGCCTCAGATAATTTAATTTTCCATGCTTTAAAATGACATTCATTATCAGGACATGAAAAATTCAAATGATTAGCAGCAAATTATGACTAATAAGTGTCAATATATTTTTGTTTCTAGAGAAAAGCAGAAAGCTGAAGTCAAGGACAGGAAGGTTTTAGAGATTTTGCAAGTTAAAGACAGTAAAATACAGGAATTGGAACAGGTTAGTATTATATTTGAACTACGGGAGAGAATTGCTGTTATAATTTTATGTAATCTGTTTACTTGTGCTGTTTTCTAATGTGTATATGGTTACTGGAGGCCCCAGAGTCTAATCTAGTCCCCCGAATACTACCACCTAGTGCTCCCAATTACCAACCTGGAAGCACAAGAAAAGGGTAGATGGACTGATGGCCTTGGCAACATGATTTCACCTTCCGGCCTGCTGACCATGGTTACAGAGGCCTGGGTGCAGTTCAAAATTGTGCAATCTAATGCCCTAACTCAAGATTACATTCAGACTACTTGCCACTAATATTTGCACATAGGGTGGCTCAATCTGCCCTTCATATTATGATCACCACTACTGCTGTTCCTGCTTTAGTACAAAAGCTTCTATCACAATTTTTCCTGCCAGTGGTAAGGCCAAAAGTCCAGGCCTCTTTCTCCCTCCTCTTTCCCTATTGGAGCTCTTTTCCTCCTTGAAAAATGTTGTTTATGATGGATATTTTTGCTGTTGCATCCATACCTTGCTAATAGGTATCTTGATAATTTCTTTTCTGTTTTTCTTTAGCAGCAGCTAGGCTTGACTGCTTCAAAATCCCAGAGGTCAGGTCAAGGTTTAACAATTTCTCACTACTTTTGGCCCTCTGTATAACATTTATTAGGGAGCAGATGTATTAATGGATGCACTTGCTTAAATCTGTGTTTTCCTAGGGGAAAAGAGTGGTGCTTGCATTTCTAGGGGAGACTCATGAGATGTTCACCAGAATTACAACAGGGACAGCAAGGAACACAACAGACATTGAAATTAGACAAGACTGCTACTGAAAATGTAAAATACTTTTAAGTTACCTTTTCCTCCCACATTTATTAAAAGGGAATATAGACATTTCGGGGAAACATGCAGTTCTACATCAGCTATTCCTTCCCCTCTATTCTTAAAACATTCCTGTGCTGCTGCCTTTCAAAAATGATTGGAAAATTCAGCTTTTTCAAAAGTTGGCAGCAAGGTTATTAAACAAAACTAGATCTCGTGAGCATGTTTCACCTTTGCTGAAATGACTGCATTGGCTTCTGGGCCCAGTTTACATTTCTGGATAAGATCTTTAATGCTCTATATGGTGTGATATCAGGATACCTGAAGGATCATCATCTTCAATATAAAACTGCCTGTGTATTGAAATATTCAGCAGATAGCCTTTTGTGCTCCAAAATCATGGTTGTCTGGGACTAGAAGGAAGGGCCTTTTCACTAGTTTAGTCTAGTCGCTCTGTTTGGTTTATTGTTTTGTTCTGTTTTATTATTGAAATTGTTGTTTTAATTTTCCTTTTAAAAATTGCAAGCCGTACTGAGATCTTGTATAATAGGACGGCATACAAAAGCTTTAGATAGATAGATAGGTAGGTAGGTAGATAGATAGATAGATAGATAGATAGATAGATAGATGTAGCCCAACTTTGAAATTCTAAGTCCACCTGTATTACCTGCTCTATAGTCCTCTTTTTCCTCAGTGTTATTTCCTTTATTTACTGTTACTTACTTTAATGATATTTGGTTGATGAAGTTTTACTCTGTTTTTACTATTTTAACTAGATTTGCTGCTCATTTTCTTCTTTTAAGTAATCATGTTTTAGGCTATATTGAATGTATTTTCTTGTATCTTTATGTATATGTTCTGTTTCTTTTTCTTTGTTGACTGCCTTGAACAATTTGAAAATGTAAGATGTAAATATTTTAATTAATATTTGAGTTGAACTCCAAGGGATTTGGAATCCCACCTGAAATGAGATTTTTACACAGGTTTTTCTCGTCACTGTCCTGCATGTGAGTGAATTGATCCATGGCCTTTTTACTTAAGCATCTCCTGAAGGCCATTTCACATATTATTCAGCCTCAGCCCTGAATTTGCTACCAAATGGCCATTTGATAAAAGTGTGCAACTAGTCCCCTGACAAGGAAAGGAATTAGGAAGGTAGTTGACTGTTGTATGACAATGGAGTTAGACACATTAAAAGAGGGTGTGGAAACTGCAAAGTAGCTGAATGGATTGTTTTCAGCTGAATGGATTGTTTTCAGCTGAATGGATTAGTTTCATCTGTATTCACATCAGAAGATGTAGGAGATACCTGTGATCAAACTAATGTTTTTAGGAAGGAACTGAGGCAAATAATGCTGATAAATATAAGGCTGATAAATAGTAATCTATTAAATTACTGAGCCCAGAAGATATCAGTTGTGAACTTCTTAAAGAACCCAAACATGAAATTGCTGATTTTCTGATAGAATTATACAATATGTCCATAAGACCATCTTTTGTCTCAGAGGATTGGAGAATGGCCAATGTAATGCCAACTTTAAAAAAGTGATCCTTAGAAATCTGGAAACTTACTGGCTGGATAGCTTAATATCTGGGTAAATTTGCTGAAAGCTTTATTAAAAATAAATTTGGTAAGCCTGTAGAAAGACAAGCCCTGCTGAGAAAGAATCGACATGACTTCGGCAAACAGAAGTTATGTCTCACTAACCTTTTAGAGTTTTTGAGAGTGTCAGTAGACATGTCAAAAAACATGGGGTGATTTGGTAGACATTGTTTACTTGGACTTTGAAAGGCTTTTAACATAAATCTTCACCAAAGACTCCTTAACAAACTTAGCAGTCACTGAATAAAAGGAGAAGGCTTCTTATAGATCAGTTACTAAAGAACAGAAAATGGGAATAAATAGTAAATTTCTCTAGTGAAGGGATGTAACAGTGGGGTTCCATAGGAATATTTATTGGGAGCAGTCCTTTCAGTTTGTTCATAAGTGTCCTGGAATTAGGAGTGAGCAATGAGGTTTGCTGATGACACTATATTATTTAGGATAATTAAAATAATAATTTAAAAAAGGATTGGGAGTACCTCTAAAAGGATTTCTCTAAACTGGGAGAGTGGCATTAAAACAGCAATGTGGTTCAATGTAAGTAAGAGTAAAGTGAGGCACATTCAGGCAACAAATCACAAATTACTACTACTACTGCTACTGTTTCTACTACATTTTTTATACTGCCCATAGCCAAAGTTCTCTGGGCAGTTTACAACAAGAATTGAATTGAATTGATTTTTAAGCTGATAGAATCTGAACTAGTGGTGACTGACCAAGAAAGAGATCTTTGGATTGTGGCAGATAGCGTATTGACCCAGTATTAGCTTGCTTTGAAAAAAGTAATTGCCATGTTACCCATAGTTAAGAAAGGATTGGAAAATAAAATTACCATTATTATACTTCCTTTGTATAACTCTGTGATGTGACCATTTGGAATATTGTGTACAGTTCTGGTCATTGCATCTAAAAAAGATACTGTAGAGTTGAGAAAAGTCAGGAAAGAGGCATCTAAAATGATCAAACTCTCATATGTTAATTGATTTCATGCATGACTTTGCTTTTTGGCAGAAAGATGAGTGAGTGGAGACAAGATAGACAAAATTATATATTTGTGGAGAAAGTAGACAGGGAGCCATTTTTATTTTTATTTTCGCATAATGATAGAACCCAGGGTCATCTGACAAGGCTGACTGGTGAGAGATACAGGACAAATAAAAGAAAGTACTTCATATAGCATGTGGTTAAACTACAGAAATTGGCTACCACAAGATCTTGTAATGGCCATCATTTTGGATTAGAAGGGGATTAAACAAATTCATGAAAGATAAGGCTATCAGTGACTACTAGTTCTGATGGCTACATGCTACTTCTGGTATTGGAGGCAGTATGCTGTATATATGAGTTGCTGGGAACATTAGTGGTTGGGTGCTACTGCATTCCTGCTCCATGGTGGGTTTCCCATAGGCAGCTGATTGTCCACTCGACAGACCTTTCGTCTGATTCAGCATCGCTTCTTTTGTGTCGTACAAGCACATTTAGAATATAACTATTTGTACTGTATGTTTTCAGAGGAGCCTTTAAATAACATTAGATGTATAGCTAATAAACATGTTGGCTTGGATTCTAAGTTAAAATTATTTTTCATGAAAGTCATTTTCCCATCCCTCTTTTCTCTCCTGAAAAATAGGCTCCTATAAATTGGAGGAGCCTTGAAAATGACATGGAATACAGTGTGGCAGGATGCAGATAAGGAGGCTGATGGCTGGAGTTGTTCATCCCTTAATATGATTAGTGGGTCAACTTAGGATCCAGACTAAAGGATCCTCAAACTTCTGCTCATCTGTTCCTCTGGATTGGTTAATTATTGATTCATGTTAAAAGTGATTACCCTTTGTTTGACTGCTTACTGTTTTGAGTTGCTCAATTCTAGAAGATTTCTAGCTGGGAATAGTTATTTTGATAAAATCTATACATTGCTTATTTGTATTTGGTTCAGATATGAGCCTCCTGAGCCATTGTTTACTAAAAATGTTCTCAGGCAGGCATACTTTCACTGTCATGTGCATAGTATTGCAGCCTTAGATTTATTCTTAAATATTTGCTAATTATTTTGCACACATAAACACATTAATTTAAAACTGAAGCAGTAAAAGAAGTGCAGGACACCTTGAAACCTAATATAATTCCCTACAAAAGACCATTTTTCTCTCTTATTAACATTCCATTTTCAGAAACCCTGTTAGTGCTAAACACAGCCACTTGGAAGCAGCAGAGGATCTACTCAAAAACCATTAAAAGACATTCTTATCTTGATTTTTTTCACATGATTATTCCAAATGTGAAGCATGCCTATGAAAGCACTTGAAAAATGCTGGCTTAATTGCAGTTTGATGTACATTCAACCAGTGATCATGTGTGCAGGTTGCCTTACTTTATTCACTTCCATGCACTGTTTTACCAAAGTCTGTTGAGATACATAATACGTATTTATCTTGAAACATGGCATTTTTCTTTTATTTATAACATTTTTACTCCATCATTCTCCTGTGAAGTTTAGCTGTATGCATGGTCGGCATGATTTTATCTTCACAAGCTACCAATGAGATACATTAGCCCAGAACTGGGAGGGCAGCCCAGG